TGTTTGAAGTTTCACAGCTTGTGATAGCTACGTAAAATCAAAAGCTCAAACGTAAGATGAGAGCTTTTTGAATGAAGCAATTTTACATAAACATTTTCTTTGTCTTTATATTAAAGAGATTTTGAAAGCTACAAAGCAGTGAAAAATATATGATTTAACTAAAAAAAAAAATTAGAAAAAAAGTTCACTGCACAGCTTCCTTTAAAAGATGTTTGTTAAAATTGACTAAAGCTTACTGTCCTGAATCTTTTTTTATCCGTATTTTGTAATCTTTCTACATCTATCTTCATAAAGGATTAATTAATAGCCCATAAAGGACAACTAACTTCAAGAGAATAAAAAATAAATTGAAATGCAAAATAAAATAAAGGGGAAAATCTCAACATTTAAATATGTCCGCTTCCGTCTTTGTCCCTTTTTTTCTTCTTTTAATAATTTACGGTTCTGTGTATTTATTTATCCTTTCTATCTTCTTAATATCACCCACATAAAATACCGTAATATTTGCATGAAAACACTCAACCACTTATATAATAGATAGTTTATTCCCATTTGACTTTCACTTTGTGGACATTTTTGCSAGCATCAGCTAAGCTATTTTATGGTCATCATGTGACCGTATTAATTTATTGATTTTTATCCCCGGCTTCTGCATAAAGTACTATGCAACAATTTCAGGGTCATTGGCTGTGAGTGGCATGAGTTTTATGAGTGAGGGGGAGCAACTATAGCCTTTTGTGTTGTGATATTAGAGTTTTTAATGGAGAAAATAATTATCTAGTTTTTCATTTGTTTGGTTTGAATGTTGTTTAAAATATAGCACCCTAGATTATACAAAAATGTCACGAGTTAATTCTATTTTATTTAATTTTTTATTTTTTGAAAATCTTAACACTTAAGGTATATCACGATGGCCGAGCAGTTTAAATGCKCCCAAAACAGGGCCAATGATCCAGAACAGACTCTAACATTTCGCAAATCCCCAGTTTAAACTCGAAGAGCTTTAGCTATCCACTGGCAAGCTCAAGGGCAACAAACCACCTGGCCTGGACGGGATCTCTGTAGGAGTTCTGAAAATAAGCGTTGCAGAGCAACCGGCAGTACTACTGAATATTTACAAGACTTGTCTTCAAGCCCAAAGTGTTTAAATGTATTTTATAATTGCTAACAAATAAGCACATACTTCTAGAAAGAAGTATGCAAACGACTACAGAGTTCTCGGGACATARAAAAGACTAAGCTACCTAGGCGCAAGACTGGACACCAGACTCACTTTCTTGGTACCATTCTAGGTATTAGTCTCTCAATGGAAAAATTGGTAAGCCACCCTGAAGTAATGCATATGTAGTACCAGGTTGGACGACGATTCCTTGGAGGGGGTCGAAAGGGGTTTTTTAGTGACCTGATGCATCAGGGGATCATTACCCGCAAACTTAATATAAATAAACTCTCGCTTGGTTTTAATTGATACGTACCACCGTTWGSCGAACAAAACTCTTATACCCTGTAGCAACATGTTGCAAGAGTATATAAACATTTATGATAAATTATATTGAACAGACAATACTTTTTGCAACTGAAAATAAATTTCTTCAGCAAAATAAAAACTCACCTTCTCAGCCTGGTCTTTCTTTTGAGCGTAACAACTTAAGTTTTGCCTTATTTTTACATTTTCTTCAATTTCCAAACAAAATATTTCGCTCAATGTTTGTCTGCTCGATTTATATTTAYGCAAGTTGTGCTCACAAATATTATAAATATACCGTAAATGTGCTTAATGGCCAGTCTTTTTATTGCCTGTGTATTGGGCGTGCAGCCTTGCGGCGATTTGGATCCATTTTGCTCACGTACATACACACAAATATTTTAGCATAAAACACAMAGGACAAAAGTGAACAAATGCGAACAAAAGCGTTGCTTGAATTATGCTCACATTTATTTTAGTTAGAAAAATATTATTCATATCTTTTGGTATGATTTTAGTTTGGTCATGTGATGTTGATTGGTTAAGCAAAATATTTTTTTATTTTGGTTTACACTTTACGTATGCATGCATTTCATATGTGGTTTTAAAGGTTGCGAGGAGAAATCTTAAGTTTTGTAATTTACAAATTTTTATACACAAATATAACGGCGTGAAACCACAAAGATTTCTTTCAAATCTCAACATTTTGAAATCTTGAGTTTTTTAAGTTTTTTAAGATTTCAAAATGTTGAGATTTGAAGGAAATCTTTGTGGTTTCACGCCATTATATTTGTGTATAAAAATTAGTAATTCTTTAGTTAGTAATAAAATAGTAATAGAGAAATTTAAAATTTATGCAATTGTAGTATTTTTTAGACATTCAACAAACAATAAAAAAACATACATATATGTATGCTAAGTGGAGACCAAAACTTAATATTAAATAAATAACTGGATCGATATTGAAGACATATACCACAGTTACTATTCTTCCAAAAAACATAATTTGCGATGAAATCTAAAACGATTTTCGTATTTAGAAAAAAAATACTATTTCATTCGCCATTCGATATTGTGTATCATCAGCGCTTCTTCGAATTGTCGAAACACTGTTCAAATTCGAGTTTTGGGATAGACTTAAGGCCTTTCAGGTTCTCTTTATTTTTGGCAATAAAAAAAGCTCAAGCAACACCTTTTTTACCTTAAGAGTATTTGAAATGTATATGAAACCAAAATTCAATAATTAAATTCTAATTGTGACTAGACAAACAAAGAAGGACTTAAGGCCTATTATTCTAACCGCCTACTAGCTTATATAAGACCACCTGTAGTGGTGAGAAAGTACCCGTATACCGTTATTTTACTATGAAATCCGAAATGCAAATCCATACATTCAGGCATTACTGCAACATAACGAGGTTCCTTGAATCCAATCGAGGACTCGTAGGATCCGTGTGTCGTTTGTAGATAGCATTCGTATAACAATAGGTCGTCTATTCTGAATTTCGTTTATAATTTATGGGATTTAATATAAATCAATGGAAGCTTGAGGTTTATATCAATTCTGAAGAACATTGAAGGGGACTTTTCCAAATTGGTGCTTGGTTTGGGTTGCGTCGGTAATTGAAAAGCAAGCTTTGTTATCGTTGAACCAAAATTGTGTGCGCTCAGTCTCTATAAATTGAATAGAACCTTAAATAGACAGCACTATTCTTCACAAGATCTATGATATATGCGATTCGTATACGAGAAGTACTTAAACAAACTTGAAATGATTCACTGAATTTAAGAGGTTTTTAATGATGCTACTTTTACGCTTGGCGGTTAAGGTGATCAGAATTCTTACACTTATTTAAAAAGATTTCTCAACGACAGTGCACTGAAGACTAGTCTTTGAACCTACCGTGAGTTCAACAAATTATCAAATATTGTATAGTGGAAAGACGGATTGAGTGCATTAAAGTCTTTCTCATATATTGTTTTTAAATGTTTGTTGATTCATGTCAAAGAATTTTTGATATCACATGGGACCATCGTTCATAGCAATCCAAGTCGGATGCTGTCTTGAGTTTGGTGCGAGAATTACCCATATGACATGAATTTGCCTAAGCTAAAATATTTCTAAAAAAAAATACCAGAAGAGTATATATTGGTTGTCAAAAAAGACTTAAAAGAAACGACAATCAATCAAACACGTGTTAATATATATCAAAACAGGAGTCGTGTCAAAAATTTCTCCAGCTTTATTTCCATTCTTTCTCGATTTATATCGAACTCGGAGTTGTTTTTGACCAGAGCAAAATTTATAAATTTAATTCAGCCACAAATTTGTGAAAACCATATTTATCACAAGCCCCAGTATTAGTATTTTAAAGACTCAACTAAAACGTCATCATATTTTCATCTTTTCTACAGGCATTAAAATATTTTTAGAAACTATTGCTTAAGATATCTATGAGTGGAAGTGAGGTGATTGATTTGGGCATATAAGAATTGTTTATTAGATGTTATCATATTGTATGCAAAAGCCATTTAGAGCGCTGGAAAGCTTTACAGAATCGACTTCTAAGCATGCAATACTTAGGCTAGGGGCTTTTCGATAAAATTGAGTTACCAAGTAACTAAAAGTGTCAGTCAAAAATTTCAATAGGAAGCTGGTATAAATGAGTAAATTACCAAACACAACTATTTTCAAAACATCTTCGTAAATGTTGAGCATTTTTGGCACCAAAGTGAGTCTTGGAGATTATAGTACATACTATATGCAAATGTCTTATGAACAAGTCATCTTATAGTTTTCGAATATTAAATATTTTATAACACAAATATATGCTTGCAGGCAAAGCGAACAACTGACCTAGTTACAGAAGCGACAACAGTCATATGAATAATTGCTTCCAGTTGCAACGTTGTATTCGCAAGTCGCAACTTAAAACAATGAGAAATTTAAAACAAATTGTCACATATTGGACTTTATGAACTGCAAGGTTATAAAATAATATTTCCGTGAAACAGTGTGACCACCCACAACGTACCGAGGTGGGATACACAATGAACGCTTTCGGCTGCTGATGCACCCAAAGAAAACAATTAAGTTCGTTATCTCTGTCGGCGTAAATCATTTGCGCCAATTTCCGAGCAACTTCAATTAAATGCGACGCACAAAGGCCGTCACAGCCGACGCAAGCACCGATTTGCACCGTCACACACACGCCCACACGACGACAGGGAGTCGCGCAGACAACCAGCAATTGCAGGTTTCCAATTGCCAAGCAAATAGCCGAACGAACGAACGCATAAATAAACGAACTACACGTCTTCCCTGGGGCAAAAATGGCATTTAATTGCGAAGCCATCACGCACACAGAGAAGGAGAGACACGCGCTTAAAGAGTCCCTGTGCATATATACTGAATTGTAGTACTGTTTGGTAAGACTTTTCGACGCACAAATGTGCCATCGCTATGTAAATTTCTATGTAAACATATATGCTATAAACAGTTAGGTAGGTGCACTGTGGCAATTTGGGGACTTACCGCACATTTCGGCAACGGTCCCTCCGGCATTTTCACCTTCCAACCCAGCAATGGCGGTATGCAAATCAATGCCGACATTATCCACACGGAGGCAATCATGATTGCCGCACGCGCCGGCGTACGCGACTTGAGATAGTCCACCGCCTTCGTGATGCTCCAATACCGATCCAACGATATCAGGCACAAATTCATTATGGACGCCGTACACAACAGCACATCCATCGCGGAGTGTATGTCACACCACCAACTGCCGAATATCCAATAGCCCATCAGTTCGTTCGCCAGCGAGAAGGGCATTATGATCAAACCGAGAAAGAAGTCCGCCACCGCCAGCGAGGCAATAAACCAATTCTGTATGTTCTTTAGCGATTTCTCTGTCATAATGGCAATGATGACCAGCATATTGCCCACCACGATGATAATCATCAATATGGTTACGATTACCGAAGCGATAACGATTTGCGGCAACGTATAACCGCTCGGATAGCGACCGTCCCATTGCACTTCTGTCAGATTCGAGGACAAATTCGCCGATGCCATGCCACCGCCACCAACCGTCAACGTTTGATTGCTATAATTGCTCGCGTTGCCACTATAACTCATACTACCGTTATAGAAGTTGCTATTCAAGAAGTAGTAACTATCGTTGACATAATTATTCGGGCTCAGCGTAGTTATGGCACCCTGTAAGGTGCTCTCGAGCAAATTTCCCAACCCATATTGAGTGGCCGCGCTGCCTGCCGCACCGCCATCGGCGCCAGCATCAACGGTTAGTAGTGGCGGGTTTAGTAGTGTTGTTGTATTGCTGAGGGCGCTCGGTGCACTGGCTGCGCTGCTGCTGTTGCTGGCGTAGAAAATGCTGCCGTTGTTGCGGTGTGTTGAGGCGGACAGATGTGTGTAGTGCTTGTGGCCGCCGGCAACGCCGCCGCCGCCGGGCCAGCCTCCCGCCGACGAGGCAGGCGTTGCAGTCACATCGGTGGGACTTGTGGTTGATGAGAATATGGCGAGGAAGTCATTTGTATTGATATTGCCCGTATTGATGTTACCATTGATATCCGCATCTAATTGGCTATAATCCATTTTGTTCCGTTATTGCCGCTACTTTTCGAGTATGCCGTTGAAGTTGTAGTTTTCCTGCTGCCTGCCTGCTACTAGCGCTGTTGCGGCACTGTATAAAATTGTTGCTTGTGTTGTTTGTGCTAGCGGTGGTTGCTGCTGTTGTTGTGTTTGTTGTTTATGTTGTATTAATGCGTAGGCGTTTATTATTATTTTGCTATTACTTTTATTATGACTACTGGCAATAATTTATTTATTACTCCAGAGGATTACTTCGCAGACGAGGCGTGTTTCACTTGGGCGTTGCAAGTGTTGCAAGTGTGTATGTATATTTCGCGTTGTTGTATCATTAATATTATTAGCCTCGGTGTTGCATAATTGGGGGCTCGACGCTATTGAACTGAGGTTAGCTCTGCATTTAGAGAATTTTTGATGACTTAAGCGGAGCACGCCACACACGCTTGAGTTTGACTTAAACGAAGTGGAATTTTTTTATTATTTGTTTAACTTGATTATTTACTATTTAATTATCTTATGTTTAATTTTCATTAACTACTATTAATTATTACTTTTCACTTCTTCACTTTTTGTGCAATTTTTTATATAATTTTTTTTTTTTTGCTTTTAAATCATTTATTTATAATTACCTTGCAATAATTATATGTTTCGCACTGCATTTAATTAAACGCATTTCCAACTTAATTTTTTTCTTATTTATTTTACACTATTCCACCTTTAATTATTTTATCTAGTTGATAAATTTACACTCGAAATTCGTTGCTGAATCTGAAAATAAATAAATTGGAAATGAAAATGGTTTGAAAAACAAATAAAATTAAAAAGTTTATTTATTTTACAAATTCTTATAGCAATCCGCATGCAATACAATATTTACAAAAGAATATTTACATTTTCTACAAACACAAAAAAATTAATTGCTATACACCTATATAAATACATAATTAGTCTAAATTTCTCGAATTCTTTTCTACCGCCTTTTCTACTCTATTTTACTCTCGAATTTTATATAAAATATCACCGATCTCCGATACGCTACCAGATTTTAATCCATACGATTTCAGTTAGCCCTAACATTTTGAAGGCATAAATTGTGAATTCTATCATTTTGAGTGAAGCAAGTTTTGTTATGCTGAAAAAATTGATAAAATGGATTTTCGCGTGTTGTTAAAAAAAACCTTTTGGAAAGGAAACCTAGTTGAAGTAAAAGCTTGACTCGAGGACCAGTTTTCGAACACAGTCATAGGTAAATCAGCCACCAAACATTGCTATGCTAGACGGAATGATATGGTCACCGAAGACGGTGAACGCTCTGGAGGCCCAAACGAGTTTGTTGCCGACGGTAACACCAAAAAAAAGTCCACAAAATAATATTGAATGACTCTAAAGTGAAGTTTTTCTATATATCAGGCACTCTAAAGAAATCAACTGAACGTATACATTAGGTATATTATTTACAAATAGTTGAGTATGAGAAGGCTCTGTGCAAATTGGGTGCCGAGCAAGCTCAATTTTGATTGAAAACAACCACGAGTTGATGATTCGGAATAATGCTTTGAAATATTGGAACCACTACTTCACTTCGAAGTCCAATTGGCAATCAGCCGAGTGGACAGTACACGATGAACCCCCACCAAAGCGTGGAAAAACACAACAAATAATTTTTTATTGACTACCTTGTTCATTTGAAAGACGAAATATGCGGAAAAATGGTCGCATTTTAAATTGCTTCCGCATCCACCATTTTCACTAAATCTGGTCCCCATAAGCTTTCTCCTTTTCTAATATCTCAAAGGAATGCTCATTGTTAAAAAATTTTCGCGAAATTGTGATCGCTGAAACTGTGGCTTATTTAATATATATAAAAAAACCAACTTCGTAAAAAAATGGTACTACTAGAACTAAATCCATTTTTAGTATGGTCTTTTTAATTGGCCCCTTATGAAATGTATGTTAGCTTTAAAAGATAATTTTCAAAGATTTTAATAAAAATTGATGATTATTCTACTTATTTGAAACTAGTTTTGATTTATAAGCTGCGAATGTACAGATCTTACGATTCTTCCTACTTTCCAGTGATATTTTGATATACCGTAGACTGAAAATGTGAGTAGAAAAGGAATAATGGAAGCAGAGCTGAAATTCGCAAATGAATACTAGCCCAGATTTAAAATTGCGAGTTGAAAATGTAGTGAAGTTCATCAGCTGAAAGTCAACCAATACTCTCAAATAAAAATAGTAAATAATTCTACTTTGTATGTATAGAAAAAGAGAGTCAGAGCACACTACTTTTAAAGAAATAAAATAGAAGACGGAGCTGGTTCATCGTCTAGCCGTCACGAAATGTTTGAAATAACAATAGAAGAAAGAAGTCAGAGAAAACGTTTAAAATAACAATATTTTATTTAAAAAAAATATTAATTTATATAATTTGAATTGCAATGTGGCTTTCAGAAACTAAATAATATTTACCCTATCTTCATTACTAAAAAAAAAATAAAATAAAAAATAACTAAATAGCAGAATTTTTTCAAATATCATTGTATAATTCCCACGAGTATTCTCATAACTTAGTTTTAGAACCTAAATTTCGTTGTTCTCTCTAGTACCTAAAATACTTATCACTTATATTGTAAAAGCGTTTTCATTCTTTCAAGCTACGACTGTCGCAAGCTCATGAGTAGCTTTTCTAGGTCGGAATTCCGTTAAAAGTTGGACATAATATATATTATATTAAGGGTTTAGATGAGGTACCCCGAGCAGAAAATGGCCTATTTTTTAAATTTCTTTTATATAAAAAATATCATATTTTATTCATACTTTGTATGCATCCAAAAATATATATTTCGCACAGATTTTGTGAATTTTTCAATGAAAATATTCAAAACTCGTTGTTTACGACGTTTTCTCAGAAGTCCTCGCAAAAAACCAGATGTTTTCACAAAATCGATAATAAAAAAACTGTTTTAATTAAAAACATAGACTACATATTAGACGAAAAAAGACAAAAAAGTGAAACTTGCTTATTTTTAGTTGACGTTTTTTACAAAAAATTGCCAATTTTGGTGAAATGTTATCGATATTCTTTTAATAGTTGTAATTGAAAATAGTACAATCCTTCGTGCAAGAATCTATTAACTATATCATAGAGATCTTTGCAAAATTTCATTAGGATCGGTTGAGTAGGTCTCAAGAAACCTGAACAAAGGTATTTGAAAATATAGCTTAGAGAAAAATCGTCGATAAAAATAAAGCTTTGTATGGTAAACTTTTTTTAGTCAACAAAACCAATGTCATTGTATTGTTCAGATCGGTTCAGTATAAGATATAACTACCATACAAACAGACCGTATACCAAATTTTGGTATTTGACGACATATCTTCACGAAGTTTGGTCGGGATTATTGTACAAAAGTTGCTACAATCTCCGAACGCATTGTTCAGATCGTACCGCTATAACAACATATATTTATCGGAGGAACAAGTAATTGTGAATCAACAAAAGAGTACTCTTGCTAACCTTTATTAATATCTTTAAAAAAAAATTATTATTTCTTCAGGCTATTAGGATATTAAATATTATTGAATGATATTCGTAAACTGAAAAACTTCTATTCCAAAAAATATTAAACTTGACAACTTTTTTATAAAGTAATAAAATCCAAAAACGTGAAATAAATAATTTTCATTATATCATTTCGACAAATTCTTATGAGATACTGACAACGCTAAAAAATATATTTTTTTCTGTTTTCCATTAATAACATTGCTGTGCAAATAACTAGCACAGAAAAATAGTTATGTAAAAAGAGTAATTATTAGATTACTATAAGCCTAAGCCAAGCCTATTTTTGACGGATTTCCAGTTGACTAATTTGTTTGAAAAACGCTATTTTTACACAATAGGCTTAACGATTTGCAAACTTAATTGCCTAACGGTAAATTACATTAGCAACAAAGAACAGCGTTTAAAGCGTGCAACGAATTGCACTTTACTTACATGCAAATTCTTCGTAGTGAAATGCGTTTGTATGCAATTTTTTATGGATTTGCGTTTCGATTAATTAAATTAAATTTGCTATAATTACTCTATTTGACTATTTTTAAAATAATTTTATTTATTTCTATTTCATTTGTTTAAACTCTAGCGCTAGTGATTACCCGTTTTTCACCGACACTTGCGTTTTTATCCAAGTAGAATGTGAATGCTATTGCTTAATTATTAGCTAATTACAGCGTAAACTATACAGAATTATTTGTTTTATTGTTTTTTTTGTTTATTTTTGTTTTTGTCATCCTCTTATTTACAAGCATACTACAGTTATGCTGACGCTGCCGTCACTGCGGATCACATTAAATGGAAATCAATAAGTAATAATGGAAATGCACATACTGGCTCATAAATGTGTGTGAGTGTGTGTGTGGCTAGGTGTGTGTGGCTACATTTTGATAGTTATATTTTTAGCACATCATCTTTACTATTTTCAAGTCTGTCTATTTACAGTTATATGTACATGGGCGTATAGCGCAGTCTTGCCTCTAATGAAATGCGCCTACAGCACTTGCATGTATGTATATGTGTGCGTGTGTGCGCTATTGACGTCGCTGGCATTTCAGCACACAGACACCAGGTCCGTCTAATCAGCTCAACAGCTGTTCAATGTTGTTGCTTTTATTAAATGCACGCCGGCTGCTGATTTTGTGATCGGCGCGAGACTGTTTATTCACAAACACACAAATACATATATGAGGTTGCACATCTTGTATGGGCTGAAGAGTGTCTGCTTAGTAGTTTTCCAAAAATAAATATGAACATGCCGCTGTTACAATTACAAATTGCTGTTTATATGGAAATAAAATATAAGAAAATGTTTGGTTCAGTTTTTACGGTATCAAAATATTCGAAATTAAATACATATATACTTTTTTGTTGTTGATTATTTTTTTATTTTTATTTTTTTAGTATCAGTAATCAATTCAATTCAGTTAAATAATTAAATTTGTAT